TAAGCTTGTTTTGGCCAAGTGTCTAAGACCTGTTCAAAACTCTCTTTCGAAACTTTCTTTCCACACTTTGTTCTAAGTAGTTTCGTAATGTTTCAAGGCTCATTTTTAAACTTCAAAATGAAATGTTTTCTCAGGAAATTGAGCAAAGAATAGTGTGGAAATAGGAGGAAAAGAGGATAATTCTGTAGAAAAATTCTGTTTTGTGCAAAATAGTGAAGCATGCCAAATTTTTGGCTGGCTAGCCAATTAAGTGGCCGGCCGGCCGGCCAGCTGGCTAATTTGTCCAGGAACAAGGTAGTTTTGGTAGAATTCTTGTTTAGTGCGTGTGGGACATCTCACTATCCTATTTTCTGATATATTCATGCACTGAATGCTTACACACTCAACCTGTATTGCTAAAAGAGCTTGCTCTTCAAAAAATGAGTAGCTAAAGCAAAGGTCAAGTGCTTTATCCTCGTCACCTCATGATCCTTGTTTTCCATTGTTGTCTCCCACCACCTTCTCCATTAAGCCTTCCACCATTGCTTATGTAAAGAAGATCATAATGTATGTAGGAAAAGGGGGAAGGAATCGACTAGAGATGAGAGGTTAAAAATATTAATTGAAAGAGAGAAAGAGATCGAAAAAAAGAGAAGTCTTGCTTGAATTAGAAAATTGGCCAAAACTTCTATTCTCGTAGCTATACACTGCTCTATCTCATCCTTCATTGCAAAATCATCCAGAAACTCATGGTAATCAAATCCTAAAGCTTTGATCAAAGGAAGAGTGATTGTTGTTGAAAGTGAGAAGCCGGAGAGTTCATCATTTTCCACCACACATACTGTTAAACAATCTAAACGCACCATTTTAACATGAATTCTAAATTTTTGAATTGAGAATTCAGAACACACTTCATACACTTAAGGGTGATCAATAGAGAGTCTGGAAATCAAGAAATTCACCCTTTCCTTGGAAGGTGAATTTTCAAGTTCTTTCATTTTCTTGTATTTTCTTTCTTGTATTTAGTTTCTTGCTTTGATTTCATATTATAAATTTGTTCTAATCTAACTGAAAGTGGTTAGTTGAGCCACCCACATATTCTATGTTTGTTTTTTCTCAATATTGCAACAAAACAGGTTTTTGCCAGGCCTAATTGGCCGGCTGGGTAAGCAACTTTTTCTGGGTCGGAACAATGCAGTCTTTTGATGATGAGCAAAATAGTTTTCGGTGGTCTCCGAGGCACTTCAAGTTTCTATTTTTCATTTATTTAAAGAGAGTTGTAAGGTTTTTATTTTGCTGTAATATTTTTCTTCCCTCTTCCCTTGTTCGAATATGTAATTATTCAAAGTATTGTAATAATTTTCCACCCCTACTTATTTCTATCCCATTCTTTTACTTTCTTTCATTATTTGTAAATTTGCAGCATATATTGCCTTTTCATCATATTCATGCTTTGCATCCATGTTTTACGCATTAAGATTCGACTAAATTTGCATATGTGGATTTAATTGATTATTATATGATTTTGTGTGCTACCTCATGTCTTGAGATGATTTGCATGTCATATATTAGAAGCCAAATCTTTAGTTGCATTTCATGAGTAAATTGCATTATGATTTTGTATATAATGTAACGCCCCGAAATAAACCAACACAAGTGAGGCACATTAACCAACATTCATTAAGGAACAAAGATAAAACTCCAACCTTTTCATCATTAATCAATAAAGTTTGTACAAAAGTTCTACATGCGAATTATACATTCAACAGTATGAAAACACATAAATCTATAGCATGTAGAGCATCAAATCCCAAAATAAATAAAATGCCCTTAAGGGCTTACATATTCCAAGGCTTGAGCCTGGTTATACAAAAATGATTTCACGAACCCATACATTTAAAGCCCTTAGCTAGCAAATAATTCATAACAGAATAGAGTCATTTTACTCTTCACAAAAAAATGTCCACGCCCTTAACTCGGCGGGATCACCACATCTTTTCCTGCACCAAAAATCCCATAGGGGTGAGCATAAAGCTCAGTAGATAATCCTTACAAAGTATATACAGTTATGCAAGATTTTTCTAATATTAAATACAAATGCCATGCAATGCAATGCCAATTTAAAGAGAATTTCATTTACACACTCTTTTTAAAAATCACCATGTTCAACAACAGTTTGAAATCTCAACAATTCCGAAACTTACAATTTTATTCAATAGGGGCGGTAAATATGACTCAAGTAATCTCTAGGTTGGTGTCTGCAAGTAGGCTTAACTAGCACTACCAAAAACCCCACTTTACTGGTTGCTAACCGGAAGGGAAGTGGTACCTCCTCCGCACATGTTTTCGGTCTTTCACCCCAGACACTCAAGCCAACTTATCAATTCCATCTACACCTCCTATCCGGACTTACCAACGTATTTACCCCATAAACATTTCCATGATTTCGTTTCACAATATTTCATTTTTAATGAAAGTTTCAATTCCCAATCCAATGTTCATGACACGCAAGGTTTTTAGAGAAGCCAATGCAACAATTATCTATATTACGTCATATTTCTCCACTTTCAACATAATTTCAACAAATATTCAATGATGATCAAAATTTCTTTTTTCTCCTTTCAATGCCATTCCACAAATAGCCAAAAATTTGCTACCATTTATCAATAAATATAACAACATGTCCACAATTCATGCACTTCCATCATTTTCATCATTTCAAAGTTATAGCAAAATTTGGACAACAATCCCCAATCTCAATAATTCTCATGTGTAGAGAAACCCATCATCAATATATATGCATTTGTAATAAAACAAAGAAACTCTCCACTTTCTTTACTTATCATGGCACACAACTATGAATTTATATATATATACATATATAATATCACCCATAAACCCTCATCTTCCTTTATTCAAGGAAACCCCCAAAATTTCTAGGTTTTCTTCTTTACAAACAACACACACACACACTCTAAACACTTGAGTGGACCCTCAAGAATACACCATTATCTTGCTTAAGATAATTTCAACCCTCAAGATGCTATCTTAGAAAGATTTGAGATTTTTAAAACCCACTTTTGAAAATCTCTACATGTTGGGCCACAAAATCAAAACCAACATAATAACTTCAAGAAAACTTTTAAATCAACATCAATATTGCAAAACATGTATATATTATTCCAAGAAGTCCCTACCTCAAACTTGATAAAGAGATTTGATGAAACCCTAGAATCCAAAGGTGAAGAAATTCAATCTCTACCGTACAAGGTGGAGTTCTTGCTTTGCTCACCAAGATTTGTGAAAGAAAATGGATCAAAACTCAATGGATTACAAGAAATCAAAGGTTCTTAGAGTTTGGTGAGAGTTTTTAGAGAGAAGGAAGAGTAAAATGATGTTTAGAGTGAGAGAGAAATGTCCCAAAAATGATACATACACAGCCAAATAGAGAGAAAAAAGGAAAAAAAAAAAAAAGAGATTCGGACTGCCAGCATCCCGCACGTGCGAAGCCTGCTTCCCGTACGTGCGGCCATCTCCTTCCGCCCCTCACTCTGCACCTGCATATAATGCAGTATGCAACCCTCCCAACTCACCCTTCCCCGCACGTGCGGCCTCATCCCCCGTACGTGCGGCCCCCATCCCACACGTGCGGTCCAGGGCCCCGCACATGTGGCCCTGGCCCTCTAGCCCAAAATTTTTCTGGTTTGTTCTCGGACACTTCGGACTCGGCCGTGCACCCTCCGAAACAAGTGACGCTTAACCCGGACTTAGACAAGGACCGGAATTTGAAAGAAAATTCTCGAACACCACAGACTCAAAGAGGACAAAAAGAAACAACGCGCAATGAAACCGGTCATCACATGTAACATCATACATATTTTTCTAATTTTTTTTGTAGTTGTTCGCAGAACATCGGTAAATATGTAAGTTTCTATGTTCTAGCATCCCGCTTTGTGTGTTTTTCTTACTATGTTTAGCATCTTACCATGTGGTTATTTGCTTATTTGATATGTCTCTATGAATGTTAGTGGATGGGGGTTGTGTTGTTCAATTTAGAATAATATCGATTTGCGTGTTTGTTAGCTCAATTTTTATTGAGTTGTATATCTTCAAAACTCTTTCAAAATATATGAAATCAAGTTGTTCCAAAATGAATGACATAGTCTATATTTGTATGCTTCACATAATAAATTTTAGGATTTATTAAATAAATCGGAATATGATTATATAAATTAAATAAAATTCATATCACATTACAAAAAATTAAGGTTTTAGAGGCTAAAATTTAGTGACAAAATTATTTTTTAGGGACTAAATATTTTTGTTGCGAAAAGTGTAGTCATTATATTTTTAGCAACAAAAATTAGACATTAGTGATGAATTATTATCATTTTGGGACCAAATTTTTTGTCTAAAAAAATAAACTATTTTGAGACCAAATTATTTTGTCCCTAAAAGTCTATTTATTAATGACATTTTCAAAATTTTGTCGTTAAAAGCCTTGTTTTTTACTTTTGAGGACAACTTTTAGCGACTATCCTCACGACGATAAAAATGGGTCCCCAAATGTCTTTTGCAACAAAATTTTCACTTTGGTCTCTAAAACTCTTATATGTTGTAGTGTCATGGTTTAGTAGAGACTGATTTTTAATTGGGTGAGTAGCGATGCTCAATTAAAAATCTTCCCCTTTCATATTTAAGGTTCCAAACCGATACATCTTTGGTTACGATGAACAATAGCCTTGATACAAGTCACAAGTTTCCTAATTTTTCAAAATATTAGGTGACAACTCTGAAATCTAATGACGCAATTTATTTCTGACAAAAATTTTGCAATAAAAAGGATTTTTTATTAAAGTTGATGGATTTTGACTCTCATTTATGTTTTACATTGCACTCATAAGACTAGATCAAAGAGATCGAAAGTCTGAACTGTTTAACGCACACGCGTACCCCTCCAAACGATGTAATAGTAGGGGCTCAAAAAAATGGGAGATTCAAAGTATTTAAAGAAGTGCTAATATTGGCAACCCTCTCTATTTATTTTATTAACCTTCAATGGTACTTACAACAAAAGGCCCTAATTATAAGCCTTTTAGGCTTCCATCGTAAATTATTTGTCCATTAAAAAACAAAATTACATATGAGTAAACGTTCTATCTGTCAAATTACGAGTATACCAGAAAATTTACATTGGTTAATACAGAAATTGGTCGAGAAGCATTCTTATTACTTAATTTTGGCCCCCTATATTATGTGCCAAAAAATAAAGAATTGGTAGCCCTCAAAACATAAAAGAACAAAAATCATTAACTATGAACCTAAATTCAAACCTCATTTCTCACCACCCTCTTTTGTGGCATCTACTACTTCATCAACATTTGCCACATCTTTGCAGCCAAGCGGAGGACCTTCTATCTTCTCATCGACACCCTCCGTGTTTGAAGTATTTTTTTCATCAGTGGGGGAAGAGTCACCTTCATCAGAGGCTTCGGAACCACCATCTGAGGCCGTGTCTGATTGCTGAAACTCGGATATGTTTGATGGAGAAGGAGAGGAACATCCGGAACTAATGTCATCGCTCATTTTCTTGTCTTCCTCCTTCATACGCTCCGCGTAAGTTTCATAGTCAAACCCGATAGAGTTCTTACCACCAAAGATAGATTCCAGCTGGTCCATGTCAAATAGCTCTTCCATTACCTTCTGGCTTTGTGGGTCAGAGAAGACAAACTTCACTTTCTTGTATGTCTTTGGCTCAAGAAATGGTTTCACCATCTGCATAAAGAAACACATGTCATCAGAATTTTGGAAGACAGTTGAAGTTAAAATAAATAAATAAATAATTAGCAAGGTGCCTTCTGTTCAGAAGCAACTCATTCATTAGTTCTCACTATCTTATTTGTTTCTTCATGAATCGAAGAACACTTAACTAAAATGTACGCCCAGTTTAGTCCTTATTGGATGGGGTTTTGGGAGGGGTGTATTAGGTACAAATCTGAAAGTTAAAACTAGCTCAAGATTTGGTCTTCATAAAAATCCTTGAGGTATGCTAACAACCAATTTCCGATTCAACAGCAAGATTCAAATCTTTTTCCTTAAAACTCGTATTGAATCATGAATTGCACGATTCTAACAACCATGATAGCAGGCACTAAAATTCACCATTAAGAGCCTAAAATGATCTGACAATAAAGATCAAGATGAGCAGATTATGTAAGTGGCAATACAATATAACCTACCAACCAAAAGGATTCAAAGACTTTCGGGGGATTGTAGAGGATTGCAATGCCCAGCCTCTCTGGGTAACAATCCTGCAAGACATGAGCTGTTTCCCGAGTCAATTTCACTGATATACTTGACATGTTCCACCCTTGAAAATCAATTAACCACACCATCTGCTCCTGGTCTGGTTTTAAATCCATTATGGCTCTTTCCATGCAATATACCAAGTATTTGATTTGCCCATCTATTGAGCTCGCATTCTGACACCATAAAAAAAAAAAAATTGTCAAAGACAAACACAGATGATAGCAAAATGAACGATACTAGTGATGCAATCTGAGATGCTTGCAATGCTATAATATCTACCTGGAAGCCAGGTCTCATAACAAGAACAGTCCTTCCACTCTTGTCGAAGCAGTTAGCTCTGTAAAGTCTCCCAATCTTGGCTTCATGGGCAACATCTTCCTAAAACCAGGAAAAAATAAATAATATGACCTAAACATATATAAAATGCATGCACCACTTATTTTATGATCAGCAATCATGTTGGGACTGCAAAATTATCGCAGACTGAATAACAACCCTCACCCAATCATGGGTAAAATCTGAGACTTTTTTTTTTGATAAATCGGTATTTAGACCCATTGGACCAACCAATCCGTGGGACTAATCCCACCATCCACTTGCGGGGTCCCAATTAAAGCCAAGGCATTGCCCTATGTGGACTAGCCCAAAGAAATTGTTTGACACTAACAGACGACAGTCAAAATTAAGCTTCAATTTTAGGCATGCTTCAAACTTTCAAAACACCACATTATTTCTAGCAATTATGATTGTTTGGTTTAGTTTTTGAAATTTGTTTCTGGAAAAAATTCATGTGTTTTTTTTTTATCTTCAGTGAACTTTTTCATATTTTAGTCTTTTTTTCTTAGTACTTTTTAAATAAACTTAAAATATTTGTGAAGAAATTAAAAACAAATAAAAAGTTCACTAGAAAAAGAAGAACAAAAATAATTTCAAATTCCTAGTCACCTAATCTTGATGCACCTAAAAAGTAAAAATATTTGTGGAGAAATTTTAAAAGGTTCACCCAAAAAAAAAAATGACTAAAATGATATGTTGACAAAGACTTTGTCGAGGGACAAACATTTGAAGTGTCGAACTTTGGCGGGTATGGTTGATCTCTCCACCTAAGTCGGTAGGGGGAGAATAGAAGCAAGTTGGTTAACAATATATAATATAACTAATATATATATTCTTGGTTCTTCACCTTTTTCCGTAGTACGTGAGGCAGCAGCTATTTGTTTGTTCAATCTTGGTACATGTGCTACAAATTGATTCAAGTTTTGTTCTTTCAAAAGCACTATTATTCGGTGGCTGGCGTGTGGAATTTTCTTCACGTCGTTTCGGCTGTTTTGGTGGAATTGATTTGGGTTGTTATTTTGGATCTTCTACAACTCTGGTTCAGAAGATTTGGTTCATCTATTTGGTGAGGTCTTTCCTCTTTGTTTATTTGTGATTATTTGAAATTCACCTAAGGGTGATTTTGTGAGACTATTAGTGTCTCGTTGTAATCGTTTGGAACTTATTTGGTTGATAGTGGAATCGGATTTCGATCCCGTGGACGTACCTCACATTGAGGGAACCACGTAAAAATTCTTGTGTTGCCTTTGATTTAATTTTTCCGCATTAATTTTTATTCCCATTAATTGATTTACTTGTGGGAAATCACATCAATTTTCCCTAACATAAAATAGGAGTAAAGTTCACTAAGACCAAAAAGACAGAAAAAACAAAAGAGTCAAAAATAGTTTTTGAATTTAACAACCAAACAAGATGAGTGTCGTTGTAAGATGTCCTCTTTGGATGGGCAGCCAGCATGCAATGTAGAGTGGAATCATGTTCAGAGACCTCTAGAAGTGACGGTGACACCATTCGGCCAAGGAAAAAGAGAAAAGAGATCTACAGTCATATTCCTTACTTCACAGGCATTAAAACTTACGGTTGGAATGGACAATCGGTGTTAAAATCTGCAGCTCATTTTCCTCACATGGTTTGCAGTGCCTCGGAACAATAATTTATTTTAATGTTCTGTTACTCCGTGTTTTGGTCTGTACTATATAATAAGATATGAACCTATTCAGTAAAACAAGAACCAAAATGCATAAAATTCGTACCCAACGGATTTTATCTGGCTTGTATTCCAGCCTCCATTTCAAAGTTTCTTTCAGCATCTTGCTTGCCTTCTTCGTGTTCCAGTTCTTTGCTCTGAGGTACCTTAATATTGATGCATCTGAACACAGCACCGGAAACTTATTGGCAATAGGACTGACGAACTTTTTAATCTCATTAACCTGAACAAAAAGGGCACTCATTAGTTCACCTAATATTTTTCCTTCCCAGCATACATATGAAAAGTATATAAATCAATGAAAAGCTTGTTTTGAACAATGAGCACACGGTGTAATAGGGAAAACGTTGCCTCTATAGCAAGAGATGTTGGTCCAATCACAGGCCTGAGCTATGATCATATATTACATTATTGATATGTTGTGCTCTATGATAATCCGCAGATTTGTGTATTGTTCAAATTTTCTTTCTAAATCTGGGTTAGACATGTTTCACTAAATGCCCTAATCTTTTTCTTAGGGAGAAAAGTGTTGCAGAACTTTGTGCATGGAAGCTTCATTCTCTTCAAGGAAAACATGTTTCGCATACCGGAATTAACACAAGTCTAAGCTCTCTTTTTAGTATTTTATTTTCTTCTTCAATTTAGTTATTGTTGCTAACATTCTTAACATGTACAATAATGCAAACATAAAATAAAAAATAAAAAGCGTAGAGATGATTCTTAGCTTTCCTGTTTTGTCTGACTAAGACAATCAAGGCCGAATAAAAGTATAAACCAAGAAACAAGGAGGTCAAATTGCTCCAATTAAGTTTTGTCCACACAAAAGATTTAGTTGATTTTATCCGATCAATGCTACTCCTCATGCAGATAAAAAGAAACCAACTTGACTTCTCTTATCCTCCATCCAGATTTACAGTCAATCATATCCTTCCTCGGTGATATTTTTAGTAGTTTAAGAAAAAGTTATAAGACTTTAATACAGAAAATGGGGTTAAATACCTTCGCGTGCTGCTCTGCAGATGACAGAGACTTCTCCGATCCACTTCCTCGCAACTTTCTGGTAGCCATCTTTTCAGACTCTGATCAAGCTAAATCAAGCTGAAATGATTGTAGACAATTAATCATCTTGAGTAAACTGCACATTTAAAAAATATGGCATGTAAAAGAAGTATACAATTTCACCCAAAAAAAAAAGAAAACTTTAGATGGCAAAAGATGAGAGGAAACAATCATGTGTGAGAATGTTGATTGTGTTAGAATCAGTATTGAGTGAAACAATGGGAAATTCAAATCTATGTTACATAGATTCTTCAAAATAAATCAAACATCTGTATCGGACACTCGACACTTAAACAAGGTTGCAGAGTATATGTCCGATATTTTTGATCACACAATTCTTATATATTTTCTATTTAACACCATCATTATATATATATATATATATATATGTTGTTGTATAATTAATATAAAATAAATAAAATATCTTTTTGACATTGTATGTTATATATAATACTACTATTTTATCTCACATAATAGGTTATAAATAAAAAAATATGACTATTTTTTTGCTGAATTCACGAATTCTTATATTTTTGGTAGTTCCAATCTCTTGATACGCACCCCCACCTGACAACCGATGCCCGGAATCCATGTAAAGTGACCTTATTTAATAATTTTGTTTTAGGAAGCTTGTTGTGGTTTTTGGAATAAATCAATGATCTTGTGATTCCTATTACATACAAAAATTTGTTAATCATCTTCTCTATGCATCAAATCAGATTAGTAGTTGGCATAGTTTGAACTTTGAAAGCTAGGCATGTGATTTGGATCAATTCATAACACAAATAATTAAGTCAAATTATCCCCAGAGGTCATACATGAATGCAAATCATCAAGATGAAGATCATATTAAATTTTTTTTTTAAAAAAATCTAGAAGTCTGAGATTGTAAATGGTAATGAGATGCAGAAACAACCAAATGAATGAACACATAAGAAGAGAGAGAAAGAGGGATAGATGTATAAAAAAAATGTTACCTTTTGGGAGTAGAGAAATGTGAGGAGAGAGTGGAGAAGTATGAATGAAGTAATGGTGTGGTGGTAATATTGAGATTGAATTTGGACTGGAAGATGATGATGATGATGATGAGTGCTGGAGAATGGTAGGAGAGAGTCATGAGGAATTTTAGGCTCTCTCTCTCTCTTTCAGCAAAAACAAACAAACTATCACCATTTGTTTCGGATCACGCTTCTTATTTCTTCTTTCCCATTTCAAACGTGCAGGCTTGTTTGGGACGTGGGTTTTCGTTTTAGTTTTTTAGCGTTTTAATTAATTTCGTCTCGTTTGGAATATGCTATTTTTAGTAATTTTTGATTTTTTTGATTAAAATATGAAATAAAAAAATTAGCCTGCGTTTGGTTGTGTTTTATAATTATGATTTGAGAGTATGAGTTGTATTTTGAGTTTATGGGGTTTGTAATTATGATTTGAGTTTATAAAATTTGTTTGGTAAAGAGTTTTGAAAATAGTTTTGAAAAGAATTTTGATTTGAGTGGGGAATTGTTGATGTGACATTTGATATTTGATACAAAAATTTATAACTCATAACCAAACATACAACTCAAAATTATTTTAAAGCACATAAAAAAAAATTTAAAAATTTCAGAAAACGTTTTTTTAGATTATATAAATCAATTGCAAAAAAAAAAAAAAAAAAAAAATCACTATTCCGGTCAACCGGCCGGACGTCCCGTTAGGCAAAATTTTGAAAAAAAAAATCTAAAAAGCGCGGCTGGTGCAGAGAACTCTGCAGAGTTTTGGAAACGTGTTTTGAAAACACGTTCCAAACACCATACTGAAATCACTATGTAGAATCATATTTTGAAAACACAAACAAACAGAGCCTAGTAGGTTTAGAATGATTTTTTAATTTTTTACAAAATGATGTGCAAACAATAAAGAAAAAATAAAATTTTTGACATTTTAGTATAGGTTACAGACTTTTTAATATTTTTTAATTTTTTGACTTTTAGACTAAAACAGACACATGATAAATGAGACCTAGTCTGAGGTTAAAAAGTTTGGTTTAAAAATAAAATAATTATAATTTGAATATAACATATTTTATTTTTTTGTGATTATTTTTTAACGAGGGCTCAAATGCGTGCCTAAATTACACTTGGAGGTTTAGAAAAAATATAATAATTTATATAATTTTAATTTAATATAATTATAAAGATAAAAATTAATACAAATAATATGAAAATATGAAAAATTTAAAAGATATGATAATATTATTTTTTTATTTATACGATTAATGAATTTATAATAAAAATGGCCTATATATTTTAGAGGCATTTACATACAAATCCTAATTTATGAACTTATACTCTATTAAGTCATAACTAAGTTTTTTTGGACCTTTAAGTCCCATTAAATTTTTAATAATCAAAATTGTCATTCAAACAATGATTGTTCATCATTTATGTACGGGAAAGAAATAAACCTTCTCGTATAATTCTGTTGATCAAGTTTGCGCTCTTTCGTACGACGTCGCTTCACTCCCTGAAAACACAAACGTGAGTTAGCCGGCAAGTTTGTGCCGGATACCTCGCCGATGCCTAAGTTAGCAAAATAGACAAATAGACAAAAAGCTCTGTGTATTCGAGAATCAAAGTTGTGTTACCTCTCCATAGGTGATGTTATGAGCTTTTATAGGTTCCGTGTGGCACAATCCTAGTAGGACTCTTACTCCTCCCTGTAGAGTCCCCATAGGAATCACATTCCTGAAAGATAATGCTTATCCTTCAACACCCCCCTCACTACTTAAACCAAGTGAGATGGTTTTACCATGGTCGGGTCCCAATATAACCGAGATAACATGGCCATGCTAAAGCCGCAGAATAGACCGAGCTCTACCTAGCTCGGTTCCTCCTTTCACTGCGTGTACCTTGGTTTCTTCTGTACAAACCATACTAATCCATAGTGTGCTTAGGCCGTGCTAACGAATGGCTAGGTTTGACCGAGCGAACTGCATTATGCCACGACCGGGCTAACTCTGAGTGTGGTGACCGGGCTATCCGCAAATCTCTCCTAGACCGGGATAACAATAAGGCTTTCTTTGACCGGGCTAACTGCAAGACTCTCTCACTCCGCCCTTCTTACTGTGGCCCACAGCGGCTCATTACCCAGCTCGGCCCAATTTATATATAAATTACCCTCTCAATTGCCCCTTAATTCCATCTGTATAGCATGATAGAGATTACCTATCACCAGCCGAGCTAAAAAAAACTTTAGCCTACCAATCGAACTAAATTCTTTAGCTTTACATCCGAACTAAATTCACACCGGGCTCTATCTGCCCGGTCAAAACGTCTCTTCAATCGCAGTAACTGAATCGCTTCTTATTTCAAGGACACGTGGCATACTCTAATTGGCCCAATACAGCTGTCACGCCGTCTTCGTATCTCGCAAAATTTGAACAGTCCCGCTCTTTTTGTCCTTCTTTCTACTCAAAACAAAACCCTTTTGTTTTTGGATCTTTCACTTCATTTGCCCTATTCACCTTCTCTCTCTCCATTGCTTCTGATCTTCCATTGCTCCTCAAACTTGCAACTGCAAAGCTCGTAAATCCCTCCAGTGCCATTTCCAACTTCCAGTTCCTTCCTCTTCATCTGGTAAGCTACACAGATCTGTTCTATTTTTCTTGTTTTCGCACTTGTTTAATCCACAACATATTGTTTGTGTTTTTGCAAAACTCATGTTTCCTATGTTATGTTCTGCCTTGTGTTTGCTAGGAAAGAACCTTGTAAAAACCATTTGTATTTACGAAATAATCTGCAGAACATTGTATTTGATCCAAAATCACCATCTAACCGAACCAGGAAGTTGTTTGTGGTTGATGTCAGTTTGGCCAGACTAACCAACCGAACTAACACTTCGCGCTATACTAGTAGTTTCAACAAGTCAAACCATCGTTTGATTCATTTTTACCGAACTATCGAACCGTACTAAGTCTGCGCAATAGTGTGCTTGAATGCCTTAACCACGACTGAGCTACAGCTTGGGGCTAAACCAGCACTCTTAGTCAAGACCGAACTAAGAACGCTGCCCCTAGATGCTCAACCGGGATAACAAACACCTTGTTCAAACTGAGCTAAGACCCGTAGTATCTCACATAGCCGAGCTAGGACTTCATTTATCTTGCCTTTGTTTGTTTTAGCATGGTCCAACGATCTGTGCTTAACACCTTTGTTTTTCGCTTTGCAGACTTAGGTTGCCTAGGCACTCCTTTGAGCGCTCAACCGAGCTACTCAACATCATTCTTCGACCGAGCTAACATTCCAGTTTAATTTATTCATAACTTAAACCATAAATGGGAAAGTATAGGTTCTTAGTTAACTCACCAGGTGCCATGGCCGAATTTCGAAAAGATTATAACATCCCTAATGATGTCCATCTCTCCCTAGCAGACCTGGATATCATACCATGGAGAAAACACGGCTTCGTTCCCTTTACCCTGCTGTCCATAGTGATTCCCTGTACAGCCTCTCCTCTGTGAATTCCTTAGGCAGACCAACCTTTGCCCAACCCAACTTTCCACCAATTCTTACCGTATAATAAATGGTATTGCCGAGCTAAACCGCCGAGCTGGCCTTAATCTCGATTTAGCCGAGTTGCTCCATCAATATTCTATAGGCTCCGCCGAAGATGGATGGGTTTATTATTTAAGAATAAGACACTGGCGAGAAAAAATAATGAAGGATACCCCGGATAAAGACGTAAATGATGATGACTTCCTCTGGGTGTCTGGAAATTTTGAGGACCAGCAGGCCCAGATCCCTGGTGATAGAATAAATTGGAACAAGGGTGTAGTCGGTAGAGTTACCTCCGCTTCATACTATGCCTTTCTTTACTTCGGTTTTCTCATCTTAAACCGCACTAATTGTTTGTCTTTCTTTATACAGATTTGAACTTCCTCAAGTCCCAATACAGCTACCCCAACTTGAATATACTTCGCGCCGCCCTGCGATATCCAAACCGAAGTTGGACCGAGCTACTGGACTTTCAACCGACCTACCGATATAGTGGCAAACGGAAAACCAAGGTAACTGATTTCTTATTGGAAGCCTCTCCTAAACCGGACCCAAACTTGTCCCAAATCAAATTGATCCCCTTAACCGCTGAGCAAGAGATGGCCAAAAAGCGAGCTGTGAGGGCCCTTTTGACCGAAACAAACCAAGTCGAGGTACCACCAGCAAGCCTACCCCAAGAGACGGTGGTGGCCTTACCGACGCATCAACCCTCTTCATCTCGTCCAAACAAGCGTGCTCGGACCTCCACAACCGAGCCACGCCTTGTTGATGAAGAGGATACCATTCCTCCACCAAGCCCTCTACGAAGCCCACAACCAGAGCGCTCTGACCGAGCTAACTCTTCTAAGTGGGCTCCAAAAATCACTTTTCAGAACTGTGCTACACGGGATACTGACTCGGTGGTTGTTGAAAAAAATCACCTAATGGCCTTTAATCTGGCCAAAAGTGTTTGCCTTCCACCTGACATGGAGCACCACAACCACCTAACCGAACTAAAGGCCCTTCGTTCGTCCACGAAATCCATGGTGCTGGTAAGTAGCTCACTTGCTTATCTTTCAAATTCTTACCAACTTTCTGCTTGGTCGTATTTAAAAAAGTTTCTTTCCATCCTTTTGTAGGCCATACAAAAGAACCATATCGCTCATAAACAAGTGTTGGAGCTGCGGAAAACAACAAGGCAGGCTATGGCCGAAGTAACTGAAAAAATCGTCGAGCTAGAAGAGGCCAAGAAACAACTGGCCGAGCTACGAACCGAGAATGGTCGGCTGACCAGTCTTGTTAGCTCGGCTGAGGCGGACAAACAAAAGGCTGCAGCCGTGATAAAAGACAAATATTTGCGCGAGCTGACCAAGCTTGAAGGGAAAAAGGATGCCGAAATAACCAAGCTTGAAAAGAAGCTGGAGGATGCGGAGAACCTCGATTTCAAGGAAGGAGAGGCTCTTTACATTAAGCAATGCAAGGCAGCCAAAGACTTATTCTTTAAATGCGGATGGAGGGCGGTCGTGGCACAGCTCAGTCATGGGCCAGAGACCGAGGTCTTCAACCCTCCTTCGTATTTTATCCCGGGTTCGATGACAGAGTACGCTGCTGCCATTCAGCAGCAATTTCTTCAGGCTGAGGATGACGAAGAAGAGACCGAGCCAAACAATACCCCGGTTG